TTCACATAAAAAATCACCTTCACATGAAAAACCACCTTCACATAAAAAACCACCTTCACACGAAAAACCACCTTCACATGAAAAACCACCTTCATATAAAAAAGCACCATCTTCACATAAAATAACCACAGCATAACATAAAAAAGCACCACCTTCACATGAAATAACCACAGCATAACATAATAAAGCACCATCTTCTCATGAAATAACCACATAAGGCAGCTATGGCGTTCCATATGCAAGTGCCGATGCTTGGCTGTACATTTTGTCTTCCATTACGCAGGAGGAAAAAAGGCTCGTCTCAGTACAAATTGTCGCCGGTGACAATATATACCGATGGACGACGATATGTGCAGTAAGGGTATGTACATTTTGTCGCCGACGACAATATGTACCGTCACACCCCTCTTTTTGATGGCATGCTTAACAATACCCAAAACAACATAACATCGTCCTTCGTAGTGTATACAGTACAGTAGCGACAACGGACCAATGACAATGGACTGAATTTCGTATCTTGTCATGACAACGGACAAAAATTTAAAAAAATCAAAATTTTCAATTTTAATTTGTTCTCAATTTTTCTATAAAGGCTTACAACATGTCTTGATACTGTTAAATGCACCAATTGGTGTGTATATTATATTATATTTACGTAAAATATAACATCTCAGTAGGAAAACGAATCAAATCCACAGGTGATTTCAACAGATTAAATGTCGCCAACGCAAACTCTTCTTTTATTACTTCTTTTTAACGGCTGAAATTCATAAAACACCAAATAGGGTGTCAGCCCTGTTTCCCATTGCAATTTCAGACATTGTTATAGATAATTTAACTTGAAAAATGAAAAACTTCTCACAGCCTGTCTTCTCAAATCATGACACCGGACGGATATTATCACAACCTCACCTGTATGTTCATGACAACGAACCAGTTTCAGTGCTTAACTTTAAAGGTTTCTGACAACGGTACTGTCTAGGAACTTAACGTCGTGTTCCTGGCCATGAAGTGACGAAACTTGGATATACTTTTTTGAACCGCAAAGAAAAATTAACAATATGATGTGGGTTAAAAAGAATAGTGAGCATCCTGTCATTGCAAAAAGGTGTCAGAGTGCTAAGAAAATTTTGTATGCTATTTTCTTTAATTCTAGTGGCCCAGTTGTGCAAATTCCAACTCCGCAAGGTCGAGGTATCTCTGGACATTTTTACAAAAGTAATGTACTGAAAAAAATTAAAAAAGCTTATGAAAAGAAAAAACCAAAGTCAGGTTTGAAGAACATCAAGCTCATTCATGACAATGCCCCCGCTCGTAAGAGTAAAATAGTTCAAAGTTTTTTTGAAGGATGAAAAGGTTGTTCAGCTTCCCCATCCCCCATATTCTCCTGACCTTAGTCCCTGTGACTTTTTTCTACCGGGTATTTCCTAAACTTAAAAAAATTGTTATCTGGACGCTGATATACTTCGCGCAGTGCAGTTGGTAGTGCTGTTTATCAGTGCTTAGACAATATTCCAAGGGAAGACTACCTAGGGGCTTTCAGATCATGGATTTGCAGATTGCAAAAGTGTGTGAATGTGAAAGGGGGTTACTTTGAAGGATTAAACTAGTTTACATTTTGATACCTATTGTTCTTTTTATTTTTTTGATATACTTGCAGAATTTTCTGATCGTCCCTCGTATTAGTGGACTGTATCCATTTATACATATAAAACCTGTAATGACTAGCAGATTATACCTTATTAACCACAAAATAGTTTATAATATACAATTATTTAACGCCTGAGCAGTCAATAGACCTGAAAATTTTTCCAAAGGTGCAGGGAACAGCTCAGTGTGTTCTACTGGCCAAGAACTGGCTCCGGGCCAAAAAACTTGCATGAGCTCACTTTTGATCTTAATCTTACTTTAACAAAAGGAATATATAGTGGAAAAGTGAGACTGAAATCAAAATTGAGTTTTCCCCGTCGCACGGTGGAAAACACCGTGTGAAATACTCTGTCACACCGTGTACATGGTGTAGCACGAAGTGTGTGGATTTAAAATACACTGGTAGGCACACCGTGCCGCACCGTGTCTAGAAAATCCCCAGCTAATGCTCCCCGTGCCCCGGAAATTCCCTCCATGCCGCACCGTGTCCATAATATTACAGAGAAAAATCATTTTGTTCTGATAAAATATTTTAAGATTTTAAAACAATTATCACATTGATTTATATGTATAATTAAAACATTGCTGTGACGTCACGCCTTTGTTCTTGCAGTCTAAAAATTTACCTGTAGCCATCTGATAAAAATAATTAGCAGTCTAATAATATATTATCGGATGGCAGTATTAACAAAATCAGACAGGAGTTAAAAAACAACAACTAGAGTGAGATCAAGGTTTAATTTGTCCAGAAACCAAAAAAAAAAAAAAAAAAAAAAAAAAAAAAAAAAATAGGGAGAAAAAATTCAGGGAAAGGGAACGCGAGGAAATTAAATTGTTAAAAATAGCAAACCCAAGAAGAAACTGGAGTTTTAACCTTCCTCAAAAGTAACACTTTCCATTCGGTTTTTTGCAAAGAGTTTTCGATACAGCACTGAGAATAAGCCAATTTAAACCCATTTCTGATAAAGAACCAGTCTGCGAATCTCTTCATCTAACGAGGTTTGTTCGCCAATGACCACACTTCTAAAACCCAAGATTTTCATTATATCATCCAATCAAAATTTTAGATAAAAATCCGCATTTTTACTTTAAATGTATTTTGAAGATATCATCCAACACTGTATCTGTATCAATGTCAAACGCACTTAATAAAAAAATATTCCAGATCATAAAAAAAAATCCTTCATCACCTAACCACTGTCCATAGTTCCTGCTAAACCAAACTACTGCCACTGAATGAATGAAACAAAAGAGTTCACTCACTGATTTTACTATCTAAAGAAAAAAAAAAAATTTCTTTTCTTTTGTCTACTTATTAGATGGTTTCAGGTAGAAAACTATTGATGCATGAACTCCTATTGTGTAATTATCGGACTCCTCCACGTAACTTTTGGACATTTAAATAGCAATGTTTTAAGTAAGATATATGCCTCATACAATTCTGTATGTAAAATTATCAGACTGTTTTCGGCCCTAACGGGCCTCAAACAGTCTGATAATTTTACATATAGAACAGTATTCGGCATATATCCATTACTTATCGTTTTCTAATCTAGAAGACATTGACGTGTGCTCCGAATCGTACTAATGATCTATGTAATAGGATTAAATATCATTAACAGAAAAATTATATGGAGTTGAATTTACCGTGCATAATACTATTTAAATTCCGTAATATTTTTTCATAGTCAACCCAGTTGCAACATTTTATTTTCGGTTATACACGAAATCCTCATGCTATACCTGTCAATCAAAATTGCACGACGCTAGATAGCCCTGAAAGTTTGTTTTCACGGAAAGTCCTGTGATTTGAAACATTCTTATGGACAGTTCCGAGTTCACACCTTTCTTAAAAAATATATTGGGACACAGCCGGAGGGCCGGGGCACTGTGTGTTTATCACACCTTTCAAATTCTTTCATCCTTAACCACATCAAGTGTATGACACACTCAACTGACTTCCAGCCAAATTCATCTACCGGGTTACACCACCACACGTGTACTTTGACTTGATTACAACTTTACTTGGTAAATTATCCCTTTTCAGACACATACAAACATGTAACCTGTTAGATTATGGTTGTTTTATTTCACAATAACATAACATATAAAAAAAATCTACAGACTCTCGATTAATTTAGAAGGGGGGGGGGGGACAAACATAATAGCTTGAAAGACGCCAGGGATTTTATTAACTAAATTTTTTTTTTCTCTCTAAAACCATGATATAACTTTACAAAGACTTTGACCATAAGAGCAGCCTTATTCTATACATGTACATCCCTGTTCTACATTTGCAAACCGTCTGACACATTTTTCATTAAATAATTTCAGGATATTAAGGTAATATTTGTACAGTAGTTGAACAGCAGATTTGAGTTACCAAAATTCGACTTTTTGTGTGTGTGATATTTACATGTACCTCCATATTTTACAAGATTACAGATTGCAATAATCCTTAAATTATGAGAGACTTTATGTGCATGTATCTGACACGTTTTATTAATTTTATTTTAGATACATTTTTTAAAAAATTCTCTTTATGTAGAAATAATTTATAAAATATAAAATAAACCATGCATCTGATAAATATGGCATATGAATGCATACGTACGGCGAAAAAATATTTTTATGAAAATGACTGTAATTAAAAGGAACACAGTTATAATCGAAAGAAAAGACAACCAGGTAATTTATTTACGAAAGTGTAATCACTATTCCTTCTAAGCATTATAATAGTTTACTGAACATATTTCTTCTCTCGTATAACTAGGTTTTGAAACACGACTTACATGGATGTGCGTACACATTTGAAGACTGTCTTTTCGGTGCTGGGCACGAGCATGTGGATCTTAGATTTTAGAGCATCTTACTTGTTCAAACATCTGTATATCGATAATGAAGAACTAATATTTAAGAAAAAAGTTTAAAAAACTTATTTCAAAGGAAATTGATATAATTGCTTTAACAAAGACAATGAAAAGGTTTTTTTTTAAGTTCTGCGTGATATCGTAATGGGACACGGTGATACACCGCGTACACACCGTGTTACATGGTGCGCAGACATCTTAATTTCAAAGACGCCGACATTGATCAAGGTCCAGGCAAAATCGTGGACTTGCGGTCAACGGGGCCCCGTGTTTTTCGGGGAAAACTTGTGGCCTGTACTGTATGGCCCCGGAGCCTGGTCTCTTGAATGATGCAGGTTTCAAACTGACAAAAGCAAATATTAATTTTACAAATTATCATGCCAAAAATGGCTTCAATGGGAAAATATTACTGTGAATGAACTAATCAGACAGAGTCAAGAACATAATTTAACTGGTGTATTTACTTTATTAAAAACCTACCTATAAGACATTCATGACATAATGTGCTATTTTGTTCTCTGGTTTCTTGACCTCTTGGACATGGTCCACATTCTTCACAACCGGTATCACTGAAAAATGACAAGACAGCCATATAATTTTCTACAACATTTTAAGTAAATTTTGTTTATCTGCACCTCAAAAGAAAGTTAGGGTAAACCGTTGTCCAGTTTGTCTGTCTTTCTATTTGTTACACTTTAGTCAAAGATTGAGTGGACTTACTGCCCTATTTTGGGTCTTTTTGCAATTTCTCTACCAAGCTGTAAATGAATTAAGTGAATCTAAAATATTTTTTCTACAAGCAATAGTAATCAACACTTACATGATTATATAAGGCAGGCCTCGATATAAGTGACCCCTAAAATTTAGGTGCCAGCTGGCTCCTGATAAAAAAAATCTAGTTGCCAATGCAAATTTTTAATCACCAGGCAAATTTTTTAAGCGACTTTAAAAGCTGATGTAAGTCAATATAAAGACCCAAAAGGGGGTATCTAGTGCCCCTTCACATTTCGGAAGTTGGGGAACAAGAAAATATTTGTGCACCCCGGTTGGAATAGTTAAATGTAGGAGATACTTTTAAAAGAAAAATAAATATTTTATATTTGATTGACCCTTCCCCATCCTTTAACTTTCCATGTACAATCAAAGCACTGACATAATTTTTTTTTTCATTAAGAAAAAATCAATATGAAATATAAGCCAGTTAAATTCCAAATGGTTTTAAATTAAGCATGTATGTAAAACTCTAAAATTTGAAAAGTTTTACATTGATCATTTCTTCTTAAGAAACTTGGATCTAATGCAATATTTCATTAGTATGTGCACTAGCTGACTGAAAAAAAAAACAAACAAGATGGCAAAGAAAAAAACAATACATGTTCATTGCTCCCGCAGAAAATGATTTTTACCACTTTCTTTCTTTTTGTCTCCAGATAAAAAAAATCATTGTTGAATATGTGTTCATACTTCTGGAATTTGACAATCACCAAGTCAATTTAAAATGGTCTCCAATCTGGCAACTTATGGAGAAATTTTATGCACCAATCAAAAATTTTAAGTGCCATGGCAACTATATTGGTCACCAATAATGAATTAGAGCCCTGTATGGTATAACATTTGTACAAAAGCAATGCCTCAATTGTTATCATGAATCAAAATGGAAGAAATATGATACACTAGTGTCACTGTCTGGGAATTTGACATCTACAAGGACTCCAGGAGTGGTTTATAGATTACCTAATCAATATTAAAAGGAGGCAGGACTATCAATCAGCTCTCTCCTTTTCTCTCTCTTTCTAGAAATTTGAATATGTGTATGGTAATTTACTTTATAATATTGATTCAGCGACAATCGCTGATGATCGTCAATAGTATAGCAGCAACATCAATAGTCTCTATATACTTCAAACATAATGCTAATTCTTAATATATCTCATTTTCATATATTGTTTTCTTTCTTTTTTTCTTTTTTGCAAAGAAGACACACTGATAATTTTTATGTATCTTCCATGTGCACACATATAATGAATTCCTGTTCAATTGCCTGTACTGAACAATGCATTATACTGAGCATACACGGCAAGAAATTGGTACTGCATTTTTATGTGATACTTTTGTAACCAGTGGACATTCCCTATTTATACTTTTGTAAAAAGGTTACAGTACAAAATCATTGAAAAATGAAAGTAGAAAATTTCTTAAGGATTATTAATGTACCCTGGTTACAGTGGGTACAATGGTTACTTAATAACACTAATTCTACTATTATTCCTGATATATTATTTGTTTTTGATTTTTGAAAGTAACCACGGAACAAAAGGTATTATGGCTACATTTTATTTTAAGATTTTACATTATTGTTTCATAATATAATGATTATGACCCTTGGTTACAAAAGGCCACAACCAGAAATTGAAAAAAGTGTGACCCTGATTATCTATTGATATTCAAGAAATGCCTTTGATTTTTATATAGTTTTCCTTGAAAATGTTTTAAAATCATATATTGTATCAAGAATACACAGTTAAGATATTGGTGATTTATTATGGAAAGAAATAAACATTTTTACTTGAACCAGAGCTTAATAATTAACCCTTGCATCCATGACGGGTATTAAAGGACCCTGTCCCAATAGAAATTGGTTTTTTCGCAAAAAATTTTGGTAGAAATTCCCAAATGACAAGCAAATTGAACTTTTTACTGCTTTTTATTTTGAAAAACTTCAAATTTTTAGATTATAGTGATCGCGATTCATAAAGAGGTGAAAAAGAAATGAGCCTTCAATTTAACTCTTTATTCTACAGAAAAACATAAACTATTAGATAATTGATTCCAAATTTTGCAACTTTTTCAATTTAAAATTCCCAATACGTTCTATTTCCACTATGGAAGAGTTATACTTCTTAGTGCGCTCTTTTGTGAAAAAGTCGGAAAATGTACAAATCTCGCGGGATTTCTGGGACAAACGTAACGTAAACATGTAAACAATATGTTGAATGTCGATGAACAAATCCTAAGAAAATGCAAATGAAATATTTTATTGTTGTGGACTTTATATACATCAAGAGTAGGAATGACAAATATCAATTTATATCTATTGTTGATCGTATGTATCTATTTATTGTATGGTACATCTAAGTACAATACACATGCCTTGGAAATATCGTATTTTTTATTAATGGATGATAAATTTAGGGTTCTCGCTCTGTTACATATGTCTTTTAGTTCTTCTATTCTTTAATTAGAATGACAAATACATTTAACATTTAAATTGGATTGAGATTGGTGTGTTTCGTATTATCCGCAACACCATGCTGTCCCAGTCAGATGACCAAACGCGCCTCTAATTTTTGAAGAGTTCACTAATGGAAATAGAACGTATTGAAAGGGTACCCTGTGTATCAAAGAGGGTCAATTTAGCTGAAGATTTTTTTTGTTGTATTTATGACTAATTATGGCTTTGCTGTTCTTGAGAAGAGGCTTTTAAAAGATTTTTCCTAAATATATTGTGTTCTTTTGTAAAATTTTGATCACCCATTGTGTCCGTACCCTACCCTAGGGGTCATGATTTGAAAAAAACTTAAATCTACACTACCTGGGGATGCTGCCATATATGAGGGGTTATCAAAAAGTTCATGGACTAGCGCCATAAAATTAAACCGCTTTAGGTACCTCAACGAATTTGAAAACATTTGGTAAGCATCATCTATTCTATTTAAAGAATAAACCATAAATCATATCTAGTAGTATTTTTAAATAAATTGTCAATGTTTTTGTAAGCAATCGTATGTCCAGTCAGCGCAACCTCAAATATGACGTTTTTTCTACTGAGAAAAACTCTTGATATGAGCATTTGTCATTAAAAAAATCCTGTTATTTCAGGCATGTGGTATGACACAATTCTTTCGTAAAATTTGCAATATTTACCCCATTCTGTAAGTTCTATGAAATTTTATCGTAACTTTCAAATGGAGAGTCCAAAAAAGTAAGGGCTTGAAAATGAAGTCAAAAAGGGGGTGGGGTTTCTTTTTCCAGCATTCTATAAAGTTCTGAACCTGAAAAAACTGGTATAGACCTAGGAAATGTTTAAACAGGCTACAGAAACCAGAGTACTTGTTTTTAATGCCCAAAAAGATTCAGAGAGATGAAAGTTGCACAGTAAGTTGTTGATTTGGAGTCAGGGTGTCAAAAGTCAGTCACGTCAAAAAGTGACGTTGATCATGTGTGGTAGGAATTGAACTCCAACAAGCCAAGTATTCTGGCATAATCAAGTGAGGATCTTTCCGTATGTATAGATCCATTTACAATATTTTAAGTAATGGAGAAAGGCCTCAAACTGTCCATTCTGTGAGAGAAAGAACTAATCGGGAGCCGTACGCCCGAGATTAGTTCTTTCTCTCACAGAATGGACAGTTTGAGGCCTTTCTCCTACTTAAAACATGATTTCCTTTGTTCTGAAAATTAAATAAAAATGTATAAAATGACAGCACCCATACAATGACAAGTTCATTGTTTACAGAATGGACAATCACAGGTAAGCTAGGGATGCAGAGCAATTTGTTGAATAGCCATTGTGTTTCCAGATGTAAATAATGAAAGGTCTTTGTCTTAAGAATGGAAAGTTACAGGCGCATGGATTTTGTGGGATGCTAGTATTTATACAAGTATGCGATGCGTCAGAATCAGTTTACAGTTTGCGTTGTAAAGGCATACATGTTTTCCTGTGATGGAGAGAATATATGACAGAATCAAAATCTAATAAACCAAAATATGCGCAGAATTAGTGATATTTGGATCTGGAAACAGAAAAGTAAGAGTAAAATAAATACTTCCCAAATTTTGACCCAAAAATGAACTTCAATGACAGATACAGATGATCAAATTCGAATCAAACTTGGAAATTGCTTTATTTGAAATCTATTTCTAAGGATATATTAACTGCAGCAGAGTAATGAAGAGATGCAAATTGTGCAGCAGTGTAGTGTTCATGGTGCAAACAGTTTTCTGGGTGGAGGATTTAATATTAGACGTACTTCTATCTGAAAATGAATTCTCCTCCAGGGAATGATTTTTACGAAACTTTAATCAAATGTGAAATTGTATCATTTGAATTCAAGTTTTGTGAAAATTAAGTTTTGAGTATTGAAATAATGTACATTACTCGTGGATTTAAAAGAGTAAAATCGAGTGGATGCTGTGCAGACATTGTGTTCTGGATTAACTTTGATCTCTGCGTTCTTTTTTTATTTACATGTAAATTAAAAAGTATTTGATGTATTTGTTTTTGTTTCCCTTTTGAACACATTACAAAGTTTACCTGTAACTCTCCATTCTGTTTGTTTTAACTGTCCATTCTTTTTGAAAAAAAACTGTCCATTCTTAAAAGAATGGACAGTTTTCAAAAAAGAATGGACACTTACAGGTAACTTAATGGATTGTTTGAGGAGTTAGCTCAACAGTAAGCTATATAATGGACAACACAAACAAAAGGTTTACGTCACAATCATGTTTTAAATGCATTGAAAGCAGCTGTTCATGACATTATATAGTCATATAAACAAGACGGGCTTAAGTCCTTACTTTACTCCAGGTAATCTCATCAAGTTAAGTGTATGAGGTAGAGAGAGCGGACATTGAGAAACAATGATATTGTCGGACATCATGAAACTAAATGGCAACAGCGCCGGATGATCATATAATGCCTTTTTTATTTCAGAATACTTTGGCAAATTATCAACATATCAAGCTAAAATTTTCATAATTTCTTAAACTAATTTGTTGCTTTATGTTTCTTATAAATTTTGTAAGCACAGACTACTTCGTATTAATTCTATCACATCAGTCCATCAACTTTTTCATAACCCCTCGTACATGTAGATATGACCAATCATGGGTTTCTTGTTCTTGAGAAGAAGATTTTTAAAGATTTTTCCTGTGTATTACTATGTAAAATTTTAATTGCGCATTGTGGCCCCACCCTACCCCTGGGGTCATGATTTGAACAAACTTAAATCTATGCTATGAGAGAATGATTCTGTCTATATAAATGTGATCAAACATGGCTTTGCTGTTCTTGAGAAATGATTTTTCCTATGTATTCCTATGTAAAACTTTGATCGCCCAGTGTGGCCCCACCCTATCCCTGGGGGTCATGATTTGGATAAAATTGAATCTACACTACCAGAGGATGTTTCTACAAATAAGTTTCTGGCCCAGTGCTTCTTGAGAAGATTTTTAAAAGTTGCCATTAATTTTTCACTAATTTGTAATTAATTCCCCATGAAAAAGGCATGGCCCTTCATTTGAACAAGCTTGAATCCCTTTTACTTTGATACTTTGTGGCAAGTTTGGTTGAAATTGGCCCAGTGGTTCTTGAGTAGAAACAAAAATGTGAAAAGTTTACAGACACTGGACAAAATGTGATCAGAAAAGCTCACTTAAGCTTTCGGCTCATGTGAGCTAACAAGAGGCCCATGGGCCACATCGCTCACCTGAGTAACTTTGGCCATGCTGTTCTTAACCAGATGTCCCCCTTGTAATCCTATTGTGGCCCTGCCCTACATCCAGGGGTCATGATCGAAAAATTTAGAATATACACTACCCCAGGATGCTTCCACATAAGTTTCAGCTTTTCTGGCCCAGTGGTTCTTGAGAAGAAGATTTTTAAAGATTTTCCTTATATATTTAAATGTAAAACTTGGATTCTCTATTGTGGCCCCGCCCTACCCCCGGAGGTCATGATTTGAACAATTTAGAATCTTTACTACCCCAGGATGCTTCCACATAAGTTTCAGCTTTTCTGGTACAGTGGTTCTTGAGAAGAAGATTTTTCAAGATTTTTCCAATATATTTCAATGTAAAACTTAGATTCCCTATTGTGGCCCCATCCTACCCCCGGGGGTCATGATTTGAACAATTTAGAATCTACACTACCCCAGGATGCTTCCACATTAGTTTCAACTTTTCTGACCCAGAGGTTCTTGATAAGAAGATTTTTCCTATATATTTCAATGTAAAACTTGGATTCCCTATTGTGGCCCAGCCCTTTCCCCCGGGGGTCATGATTTTAACAATTTAGAATCTACACTATCCCAGGATGGTTCCACGTAAGTTTCAGCTTTTTTGGCCAAGTGGTTCTTGAGAAGAAGATTTTTTAATGACCCACCCTATTTTTGTCTTTTCTTGATTATCTGCCCTTGTAAGAGGATTTAGCCCTTTATTTTAACAACTGTAACTCCCTTCACCCAAGGATACTTTGTACCAAGTTTGGTTAAAATTGGTCCAGTTTTTCTTGGGAAGATGAAAATGTGAAAAGTTTACAGACGGACGGATGGACAGACGGGCAGACGATGGACAACGGGTGATCAGAAAAGCTCATTTGAGCTTTTTGCTCAAGTGAGTTAAAAACATAGTGTAAAATCTTATTTTTTTTTGTCTCAGCAGTTTCAGAAATATTCTAACATCTTCACAAAGTCCAGATTTTATCATAACATTCCTCTTCACAATGTTTATGAATAGGATCAATTTCATAAAACCTTGGCATTGTGAAGATGTATAGGTTAACAAGTAGATGACAAAGACGTGTTTGGTCTTTTAAGGATTTTTAAAGACTTTAATTTATCCCCATGGTAGGCAAGGGGAAAAGGGTATTGCCTGGTGAACAGAAGATTTCGCAGGAAAAAAATATTTTGTGGCTAAGCAGAATTTTTGTGTGTAAAAGATGATACCGACAACACAATTTTTGAATAATATAACTTTTTATGAACTTTAAAATTGAGAAATACATTGTACATTATATCAGAGCAGGGGATTGCCCTTGTCTGTTAAATGTTAAATGCCTTCATTCTAAGATTGTATTTTTTCATTGGTGCTGTTCCTGCTGACCTGTTAACAATCTACAACATATCAACATATCTGAAGCTATTTCATGACTTCAAACTTTGGTTGTTTGGTGAAAATTGGATGAAAAGCATGACCTGCTGTGTCATATAAAACAATCAGATTATGGGTCGAAAAATTGGTGTAACCAGCAATATCGGTTGAGTTGGCAACTATGCACCCTATCCTCTTTGCTATGTCCCAATTTTCTCTCATTTGAACAAACTTAAATCCCCTCACCCAAGCTTAAGGTTGATTTAATTAAAGTCTTGTTGATTTTTTGTTTGTTTAACTTCCTTTCAAGAATTTTTCACTCATATTGAGACACCACCACTTGCCAGTGGAGAACTGCTTCGTTAAAATTGGTCCCCTATTTCATGATAAAAGTGTGAAAAGTTAATGTTCACACAGACAGATGGATGGACAAACTTAAATTTAAAAAGCTTACTTGAGCCCTTGAGCCTTTGGCTCGGGTAAACTAATAAAAAACAACTGGATCTTTACCTTAAATATTTTACCTTGGGAATAGAAGCAATCATTTAAGATATTCAACAAATGGCAGTTTGAGATTGGGATACAAGAAATTGAGAACACAGGTAAACAATAAATTGAAAATAAAAGGACAATTTTAAACAAATTTTAAACATATTGATTGAACAAAAAAATACACATTGGATGTGCTATATGAAAAGTTAGTAATCAGTGAGGTATTAGGGAGGGGGCATTTTAATATTTTCAGATTAAAAATCGCAAGAATGGACACATAAGCAGGCACAGATGCATGTTGGAGTAAATACAGTTCAATTAAGCTATTCAAACATACCTGCAGTAGGATCCAACAGCACATGGGTCACAATTGGTCTTGTTAAATTTACTCTGATAAAACCCTTTAGAACATAGGGTACATTGACTTGAGCCATTGGCTGCCGAGAAACTTCCTACAAATAAAATTTTTTACTTCATGTCTTCTGCTTCATAAATTGAAATAAACTAGGGTGTTCAAAGGAACGCATGTGTTGTCTGCTTTGTAGCTTCATTAAAGATGTAAATAAATCTAAGATTGGTCAGTTTTTTTCATTTACTTTAGCATGAAAGTTCATGCATTTGCCTGCAAAGAAAAAACAAGAGGCCCAAGGGCCTTAACGGTCACCTGAGTACAATACAACAATTTAGAGGATCCATAGAGTATTAAAATGAAATGAAAGGTGAAGCTTTGTTGCCCAAAAGCAAGAAAAATAGGGTGATCAGGATCAACAAAATAATTAGTCTACTATTCATTAACAGTTCATAAATTAGGTTCTAATCTGTTCCCCATTTATCACTATCACCATACAGTATATTAACAAACTATCAGTGCTTTTGTACTATTTTAATTCCTTGTTGACAGTTGTAATCTCTTACATTGGCCTTTCTTGGTCTTTGATGAACATTTAATAAGACAAGTTATTTTTGTCTCATTTTTATTTATCTATTACCTACAAGTCCACATGATCATTAAAACTATGAAAATACTTTTTGTATTATACAATAAAAATTCCTGCATAATTCTCTTATTCTATTAATTTTTCAAGTACATTATTTACAGTGATTAATTATCAAAAGTAAATGGCAAAGGGGAATAACTCCTCTCAGTAGAATGCAAATTAATTGAGCCCTGGCTAGGACCAGAACACTTGACCAAATGGTCCAGATGTTCAAAAATCTGGTAAAAATACCCTTCCTTATTACAACTTTTACACTTTTTGCCTCTGATATGCCCAAGTGCAGGGAAGATTTTTAAATAAATAATGCATTTTCACTACAGATTCACTATATTATCAATAGAGCCCCCCCCCCCCCCTTCACCACCGAGAAATTCCAGAGCCTCTCACTCTGGGACCAGAAGTTTCAAGTTTGCTCATCATAAGTAATCACTTTGTTTAACTGCTTAACATTAAGGAGCAGACAGGATGATTTAATAGAATTAATGCATTTTCACTACATTATCAACAGCCCCACCCTTATACCAGCACATCTGACCCAGGGGTCATGCAATTCACTACTCTGGAAGAAGCACTCTTGCTCATCATAACTATATACTTAGCTTCTTTGCTTTTTAACCAGAAGCAGAAAAGAATATTTTCAAAGAAATTTTGATTTTTCACTATATAATCAATGGAGCCCCCCCCTCCCCCCCTCGACCAGAACCCTTGACCCTGGGGCCATGAAATTCACAATTTTAGAAGAGGCATCCTTGCTTAATAACAATGTACTTAGTTTGTTTAAATAGTACCCAGGGGCAGAGAAGAAGATTTTCAAAGAAATAATTCACCTTCACTGTAGGAGCTACATAGCCCCACCCTAGCACCAGAACCCCTGTCCCTGGGGCCATGAATTTCAAAATTTTGGAAGAGGTGTCCTTGCTTATCATAACAATGTACTTAGTTTGTTTAAATAATACCCAGAAGCAGAGAAGAAGATTTTTAAAGCATTAATGCATTTTCACTATATAATAAATAGAGCCCCACCCTAACATCAGAACCCCTGACCCAGGGGCCATGAAATTCACAATTTTGGTAGAGTCGCTCTTGCTTATCATATCTATGTATTTAATTTGTTTAAATAATACCCAGGAGTAGAGAAAAAGATTTTCAAAGAAATAATGCACTTTCACTATATGATCTATATAGCCCCCCTCCCCCCCCCCCCCAGCACCAGAAACCCTTACCCTGGGGTCATGAATTTCACAATTTTGGTAGAGTCATTCTTGCTTATCATAACTATGTATTTAATTTGTTTCAATAATACCAAGGAGTAGAGAAGAAGATTTTTAAAGAAATAATGCACTTTCACTATATGATCTCTATACCCCCCCCCCCCCCAACTCCAGAACCCCTGAGCCTGGGGCCATGAATTTCACAATTTTGGTAGAGTCACCCTTGCTTATCATAACTCTGTATCTAATTTGTTTAAATAATACCAAGGAGTAGAGAAGAATATTTTCAAAGAAATAATGCACTTTCACTATACGATCTATATAGCCCCACCCTAGCACCAGAACCCCTGACCCTGGGGCCATGAATTTCACAATTTTGGTAGAGTCACCCTTGCTTATCATAACTATGTATTCAATTTGTTTAAATAATACCCAGGAGTAGAGAAGAAGATTTTCAAAGAAATAATGCACTTTCACTATATGATCTATATAGCCCCGCCCTAGCACCAGAACCCCTGACCCTGGGGCCATGAATTTCACAATTTTGGTAGAGGGCTCAATGCTTATTACAATCATGTCATCAGTTTGACTGCTTGATGTCCAGGAGTAAAGAAGAAGATTTTTAAAGATTGCATTAATTTTGATGGTCTTAGCCCCACCCCTCAGGCCCCAGGGGGGCAGGGACCATGAAATTCACAAATTTTGTTCCCCTTCACACATAGATGCCATATGCAAAAATTGGCTGAAATTGGTTCAGCGGTTTCAGAGAAGAAGCTGAAAATGTTCAAATGTTAACACACGACGCACGACGGACGACGACGGACGAAAACAGATAGCAATAGGTCACCTGAGTGACTCAGGTGACCTAAAAATCCATGGATAGTATAAAATGCAATAGAATCTAACAAACAAAGAAAAAATGTTTCCCTAACCCTCAATTGAATAATTAAATTGAAATTACAATTGAACTTGAGTAATTGAACACTGATATCTGGAATACCGTAGATTTTCGAAGTGATTTGGAAGTCCCCACCCCTTATTCTTTAAGTATTGTACCCTGGATATCTCGAACCCTCTGATATCTCGAAGTTTTATCTCGGTCCCACTGAGTTCAAGATAACGAGGTTTGACTGTGTTTGAAATAACTTTTTTCACTGTATTAATATGTGTTTCCAACAATCCTTCAAAAGAGATTAAAGTCAGTACAGTATCATGAGCTAAAGGTGTTTCCAACAGTCCTATAAATGAGATTTCAGTCTGTCTGTACTGCAATTGTCAGCCTACACGATCGATTTGAAATACCAATCCTGATGTATTCTCTTAGTATTTAATAGCGATTCTCTGTAACCACTTACACTTCTTTGCCATGCATGGTCACCGATATTGATGAAACTTTGCCTATTATTACAATCTGATGACAGAAACATATATCAAATAAAATTTCGTTGCTTTGTGTCTTAATTGCCATGGTAATAGCCAAAAAAGTTTTAAACCAGAAGTCTCTGCTGAGACTGTAGCTCTACTGGTTTGAACTTTGAAGAAAAAAGTAGCACTTGAACTTGAAACTTTGCAACAGCAATAAATAAAATAATGATCCTTGGTTTAGTCTCTTTTTGTGGCAAGATTTTTTGCAATCCTCAAAACTGTAAGTGGAGTAGCCTTTTAAAAGAATCTTACAGAAATTTTGATTTCAGTAACCATGGCAACATCATTCAACAAAATCAAAAAAAAAAAAAAAATAAATAAATAAAATAAAATAAAGACAACAAGAGCCAATGCTCACTAGCAATACCCCCGCTTTGAAGTGAATGTACATAAGTTCAGTTATGGACAGACACTAGGATGAACAAGAAGTTGACATCAGATTCGTACAAAAATGAATCCCACCATATTGCAGGCCTAAACAAAGAGTGTGCTAAAACTTCAAGCATCTGCAATTAGTAGTTGCTGAGAAAACTGCGACCAAAATTTGTTCTGTATTGTACAGAAAGACGCACGGATAAACAGGAAGTTGACATCAGATTCGTACAAAAATGAATCCCACGATTTGGCATGCCTAAACAAAAAATGTGCTAAAATTTCAAGCATCTGCAGTCAGTAGTTGCTGAGAAAACTGCGACCAAAATTTGTTATGTATGATACGGACAGATGCACGGATAAACAGGAAGTTGACATCTGATTCATACAAAAATGAATCCCACCATATGGCATGCCTAAACAAAGAATGGGATAAAATTTCCAGCATCTGCAATCATTAATTGCTGAGAAAACTGCAACCAAAATCTGTTATGTATGGTATGGACAGATGCATGGATAAAAAGGAAGTTGACATCAGATTCGTACAAAAATGAATCCCACCACATGGCATGCCTCAACAAAATGTGTGCTAAAATTTCAAGCATTTACTATGAGTAGTTGCTGAGAAAACTGTGAAGAAAAATTTGTTATGGACAGACAGACGGACAGACGGACAGATAGACAGACACACAAGGGTAAAACAGTATTATAATACCCCCCTCTCCTTTGGAGCGGGAGTATAATTACGTATCTTAGTGTAATCTAATTATGTGCCAAGTTATACTGAAATCAGATCAAAACTGTAGGGATAGTAACATTTTGAACGTTTTTCAAGGAAATTTCTATTTTAAGTAACCATGGCAACATCATTCATCGAAATCAAAAATCAATACACAGAATTATGTATCTTATTGTTGTCTGCTTGTGTGCTAAGTACGACTGAAATCAGACCAAAACTGTAGGAGAAGTCAGCATTTTGAAAGTTTTTCACAGAAATTTCTATTTTTAGTAACCATAGCAACACTGTTCATCGAAATCAAAAATCGATAAATAGAATTATGTACCTTAGTGTAGTCTACTTATGTGCCAAGTTATACAGTCCCTGAAACGTTCTACTTTCCCATTTTTCCGTTCGCTCACCGTTCATTCAGCGTGCGTTCACCGTTCGTTCAGCGTGCGTTCACTGTTCGCTCTCCGTTCACAGTTTTGCGTTCAGCATTCACTGTGCGCTCGCGTTCAGCGTTCATCTTGCGTTCAGCGTTCGCTCTCCGTTTGTTCACTTTGCGTTCACCCAGCGTTCACTTATCGTTCAGTCTTCAGTGTCATTCGGAACACCGAAGTTAAAGGACTTATCGTTTTGTTAGTATTTAGGATTTACACGATTTTTAATTTAATAATAAACATATCGTGTTTAAAGAATCATTATTTCATCCAAATTATCCACAA